CTTCCGTTTCTTTCTTCCCCTCGTTCCAACGCTTTGTCCGCGTCCGCTTTAACGTCACGCGGATCCGCTTTCTATCGCTGATTCCAACCCTTTCGACAAACTTCATCTCCTAATGATCTATTGTTTCATGTTGTTCTAACGAATTATCACACCTGATAATACTTTTTACTTTAGAGATATAAAAGATTCTTCTACTATGTATAATCGTTGCTTTAAAAGAATATCAAATTCAAGAAAAATTAAGGGTTCAGAAGTATTCCTACTTTTATAGGTAGGTTACAATCTCATAGGGCTACATATATGGTTTTATAATTAACTGAATTTGAATTCATCAATGAATTACATAAATAGTTTCGATAATAACCTAACATCTATATTACAAATTTCAAAAATTTCCTGCAGATTCATATATTATATTATACATGTATTGTACTGTACTTAAACATAGTTAGTGTAATATTTCTTTGTGGTTAAACACTGTGGTTTTTGCTTAACTTTTTATATATGCCAGGAATTCTAACCTCAAAAAGTTGAAGTTATTTTAAACAATTGAAACGTACATTCGTCTTTCATCTTTTTCATAATAAAAAGACTTCCGTGCAACGAGGGTTTTTATTTTCTTTAACATCATATTCCTCAAAGGGATACAGTCAGATATTCACGAAAAATCTTAATATTTGTCCTCGCGAATACGGAGGCATCGGATATTGATAGAATGTATCGTTTGCACTGCAAGTGACAGAAATGCAACGGTTTCCACATCGAAGAAGATTGCACAACAAGTATGCAGTAACTACTTCAAAGATCCATATTTAACACAATGGCCGCATAAGTGCATTTCAAGCTTAATCCCCACGGCACAATTATCAAGCGTTCGTGGATTGAATTTATAATGGCTGACAATCGCAGGTATTCCAGTGGATACTCGCTAGCAAAAACTGATTCTGTATCTTTCATTAGCGAATTATTCAACCCGGTATCGAATAAAAACTCGTGTCGATCTTGTTTTAATTACATGTAACGAGGAAATTCGCATCTTATTACGTCGTGATCGAATGAAATAGCGTGACTCTCGGCTTTTCATGTTTTAAACAATTCTTCGAATAACTTGAAGCATACTGTTCGTTTAAGTTTGAAACTTCTTTCGTAGATTCCTTAAGGCTGTTTAATAAAAGATGCGACGTTCTCTGATTACTGAACTAAATCTTTAAGTTCGATGTAATTAATACATCGTATACAGGAGTTCTAAATATTGGAATAAATTATAGTTTGAAATTATGTAACAATTTAGAAATATTATGTTAAATGTTGAATTATATTTTCCATACAAGATTCAAAATTAACTTTAAGTAAATGAAGAAGGAAATTACTCTAAAACATTGTTTAAGTATGTACTATGTTAATATACACATTTTTAAAATATGGTAAATCAACAATTAACAACAATTGACTGTCATATTAGACAAATAGAGCCAAGTCTAATATGACATCAAAGTCTTTATGTACCTCCAATAAAATTTTCTATAATCTGCACATTAAATGCAATTATCAATAAATAGAAAAAACAACTATCAATAAATCCTCGTAACACCGTCACAGTATGTATAACCAACAATTTTAAAAAAGAGTCATAATAAAGCGTATTCGTGGTACAACCACTTACCCTCCACTAATCACGAATTATGATACCCAATCGAGCAATAATATTAATAATCCAACCCCTATGCTAAATTCATCCCTCGAACCAAAAATTGCACCAGTTATTACAACGTCCATTGCACGCAATCAACGAGTTTCACAGAGCACCTTTCGAAAGACTATTCAAAGGGCTAACTCCAAAAACGGTGTTCAAGATTCATCGTCCACTACCCCTGTCTGTCTGTCTCTCTCACGATCCACATTGTCTGGCGTTGATCCAGGGGTGCGCATCCCTCGGTTGAAGCGCGAGGAAGCATATTTCAGACGTCTCGTCTCATTCAGACCGAGTCGAAGGGGAATACGACCCCGTTTGGCAATATCACCGACGAATTTAATGCCCGGCTATTAGCAACGGGATCCATCCACCTCCTGCATTGTTCGAGTGGCCACGTGCAGGATGACTGCCTCGCGTGCTGGAGAAACGTTTGATCGTCGAGCCGGCTCGGTAAGATCGTTCATGGCGAGAGAACGGTGGAGAGAAAAAAAAGGAGGTTCCTGCGTCGTGTCACACTTGTCGAGGGTTATTGGATTTGGCCCGCGCCATGGGGAGTCCTTTGGGACCTGCTGGGTTACACAGGAGATTAGGCGCCGGCTACGATGCGATTCGCTACGGTCAAGTGTCCCGACACTGTTTGTCCCCATCGTTCTACTAGTAAACGATGCAATTTTACCATTAATCGTGATAGCTGAAAATTACCAAGCTCTTTAACCCCTTAATCTACAATTTTTTGGGAATTTGTGTTATCTAAAGCTATCTAATTATTAATACAAAGTTAAGGCAATTAAAATGTTAAACACGTTTTGCCTTCAGCGATCCTTGATTATGCAGATTATTAGAATTAAACCCAAAATTCAGTTGCTGTGAAAATACAAGTCTGATTTATCACATTTCAACTGTAGTGTCACGCACGTTATCGTAGGACAAGGGGTTAAATCTGATGCGCGCTGTTTTTGATGATTGAAGATCTGGTGGAAACAAATTTCACACTCAATTTTTCGTAGGAGAGTGAAACTTTCTTGAAGACAGCATCATTGATGTTAACATGTAATATTAGGTTCGGGCCGATAATTTTGTATATTAAAATAGTATTTAGATAGTAGTGTTCGTGATGGGTTTATCTGTGAATTGCAATGAACGAAGCACAATGAAATCAAGATAAAAATTTCGAACATTGAAATCAATTCAAAAGTTCATCTATTCGATCACGACAAACATGCTCTGGATTATTACGTGTTTGATTAGATGCGCCCTGCGACCACATATTTTGGTCGCGTGCCGATGGCGAGAAGAAAAAATGCCCAGTAATCGTTAGACCGTAGAAGTACCTTAGACTCATTCAATTTCTATGAATATCCCTCCTTGTCTTCTTTTACAATAATATCCCGTTTTCCTCGAGTTCCAACCCGTTTCATCTTCTTTAATTTAATATCTTATTTCAAAGATTTTCTAATCAAACCCTGAACCTCGAAGGCCAAAACAATAAGTCCATGTCTCCAGATTTCCGCGGCAGGCTCTCGTCGGAAAATTCGCAGGCCGTTCGTTTCTCCGCGGAGGCTGTGCTCGCCGCGGCAAATTAAGCTTCCCAAAACACCGCGAAACTGTTAATTAAGACTCATTATGCGCGCGGCGTCGGCTCAGTCGGAGCAGGCTTGGGGTTGCGAGCGTCGAAAGGGTGGCGAACCGAGCTGCCTACGCGAGCGGAGCGAGACGGAGCGACGACGGTAGGAGAAGAGAGGACAAGAAGCCGTAGGAGATGGGAAGAGAGAATGTAGTAGCTGGCCGATCAAGAAGCAGGAGAGGGAGAGCGGGTCTGCGATGATACCGAAAGAGGAGGAGGTAAGGAGAGCGAGAGGAGGGATGGTTTAACCCAAGTAGGAACTTCTTAATACCGGGACAGCAGTCGGGTTCATTGTGGGATCAATACAGAGACGACCGGGCGTAGGAGTGGCAAACGTTGCCTCATTGGACGTGCTGTTCCCGCACGGTGATTGGCCGGTGCTGGTACTACCAGGAGGCGTTTCCTTCGCAGTTAGCCCCTCTTTTGGGGTGAACGAAAGGGGCAGGTAGGCCCTGACCCTCGCGAGGAAGGAGAGAACACGCGGCAAGCGAAAAAGACGGAGCTGCGACGAGAGTGCAGTTGGAAAAAGACGGCGCACCGGTCTACGGTGAGGGTGACACGAGGCCGGGGGGTTCAGTCTGTGTTCGCCCATCAGAGACACATCACCAGCCACGATACGGTCCGGTTACGTCTCTCGCCGCGAGGGTAGCTCCCTGTTAACCAGGTGTACTACGCCACGACGTCCTGCTTATGGACAAACCGAGCCCTTGAACTTGACAGTGTCCCGCATGCTTTTGGACATTCGGTTCGTTTCGTACTTCGACTTCGTCTTCGATCAGCATCCGCGTTAGTGACGATCGGATGACTTGAGTGGAGAACCAGGATTTCGGTGCGCGACCAGTGTCTGAACTTGTGATCTACGTCTGGGCCGTTTGCGGTTCATCGAGTTTACCGTTCGATCGAAATTCGTAGTAATCATCCAGAAATAATTTGAAGAAGTCAAAAGGATTCGAGCATTCGAGCCGTGTGATGTTACGAACGTCGAATCAGAAGGACGCCAAGAGAAACAAGAAGCGAGTGTGACCTTGCCAACACGTGCTCCAAACGTACAATAAAAACTTCATCTCTTCCGGTTGGAGCAGTGGTTCGAGTTGTCGGTTCCTAACCCGGACCTAACATAAGTCAGTGTAAAGGTGACCCGGCGTGAATCGGGAGCATCGTTCTTGCGATCGCAGTGACCGTTAAGTGTGTTCGAAAACCAGTCGTGAACGCGTGTTTACATCGTCTCCTTTCGTACGAGAAAGTGCCGGTTCTTGCAACTTGTAAAACCGTCGGTTCGAGTTAACATGCAGATCTTTTGAAAGATCTCCGATACTCGATCGACCGAACGAATTTGGACGATTCGGAGGCAACTCGGAGGTGACTCGTCGATGAACGGTGCATCGTGAAGATGCGTGCCTGACGCTGATCCTCTCGAACTCGTCGCGTGCTCGATATCCAAGTGAACCATCGTCGAACGATCGACAAAGGTGCGAGTCGTGAAGAAGACAGAGTAGGCGAGTGGACAGAGTGGAAATAAAAGGTAGTGTACGAACGGGTGGTGCGCCCAAGTAGGAACTTCTTAATACCGGGACAGCAGTCGGGTTCATTGTGGGATCAATACAGAGACGACCGGGCGTAGGAGTGGCAAACGTTGCCTCATTGGACGTGCTGTTCCCGCACGGTGATTGGCCGGTGCTGGTACTACCAGGAGGCGTTTCCTTCGCAGTTAGCCCCTCTTTTGGGGTGAACGAAAGGGGCAGGTAGGCCCTGACCCTCGCGAGGAAGGAGAGAACACGCGGCAAGCGAAAAAGACGGAGCTGCGACGAGAGTGCAGTTGGAAAAAGACGGCGCACCGGTCTACGGTGAGGGTGACACGAGGCCGGGGGGTTCAGTCTGTGTTCGCCCATCAGAGACACATCACCAGCCACGATACGGTCCGGTTACGTCTCTCGCCGCGAGGGTAGCTCCCTGTTAACCAGGTGTACTACGCCACGACGTCCTGCTTATGGACAAACCGAGCCCTTGAACTTGACAGTGTCCCGCATGCTTTTGGACATTCGGTTCGTTTCGTACTTCGACTTCGTCTTCGATCAGCATCCGCGTTAGTGACGATCGGATGACTTGAGTGGAGAACCAGGATTTCGGTGCGCGACCAGTGTCTGAACTTGTGATCTACGTCTGGGCCGTTTGCGGTTCATCGAGTTTACCGTTCGATCGAAATTCGTAGTAATCATCCAGAAATAATTTGAAGAAGTCAAAAGGATTCGAGCATTCGAGCCGTGTGATGTTACGAACGTCGAATCAGAAGGACGCCAAGAGAAACAAGAAGCGAGTGTGACCTTGCCAACACGTGCTCCAAACGTACAATAAAAACTTCATCTCTTCCGGTTGGAGCAGTGGTTCGAGTTGTCGGTTCCTAACCCGGACCTAACATAAGTCAGTGTAAAGGTGACCCGGCGTGAATCGGGAGCATCGTTCTTGCGATCGCAGTGACCGTTAAGTGTGTTCGAAAACCAGTCGTGAACGCGTGTTTACATCGTCTCCTTTCGTACGAGAAAGTGCCGGTTCTTGCAACTTGTAAAACCGTCGGTTCGAGTTAACATGCAGATCTTTTGAAAGATCTCCGATACTCGATCGACCGAACGAATTTGGACGATTCGGAGGCAACTCGGAGGTGACTCGTCGATGAACGGTGCATCGTGAAGATGCGTGCCTGACGCTGATCCTCTCGAACTCGTCGCGTGCTCGATATCCAAGTGAACCATCGTCGAACGATCGACAAAGGTGCGAGTCGTGAAGAAGACAGAGTAGGCGAGTGGACAGAGTGGAAATAAAAGGTAGTGTACGAACGGGTGGTGCGACGTTCGGGTACGCAAGTCGGCAGGCCGGCTCTGGGGTGCCGGGCCCGGGCGGGGTGATGAGCTGTTCCGAGGTGATGTATCAATATTATCCTTACCTCTACCAGAGGCCACCGCCGCCGCCGCACCCGACCCACCCTCATGCGGCCCCGCACACCCATCCCCACGCAAATCCGCATGCGGCCCACCACAGTCCTGCCAGGCCGGCGCCTTTTCAATCCTTCTCAGCGGCCACGGCGACGCATCAGTACGACAGGGTGAGTGAACAAATCTCTTTTCTTTCTTCCTTCGTTTCGCTCAGAAAGTTTCTTGCCAGAACATCCTGAAGGATTCGTTCTCATCAGCGTGACAATGTTGTCATTGACCCTTTCATTGCACCGTTTTTTCAATTGGCACGACACGAGGTGGTGAAAGTAGTGTAAGTCAAGTTTTACAAAACGTTTGTGTACCGAAAAGAATGTGTAGAGTATCTTTAGTTTCATCTTTAACGCTCATTGATCGCATGATTCAATTAACAGTTGTGGCCGCTACGGTCAGTGTGATTAGACCGGAAGGTGCTGTTGTAGTTGTAGATTAATCAGACCCAGTCTTATGTCCAAGTCTGGACAAGCATGTATTGTACTCCCGCCATAAAGTGAGCTCTAGAAATAGAACAAGTCTAGGAAAGCAAATTTTGCCTTATTTTCTTATCTGACTAGTATGAATGATCGCAGTAATTGTTCTTTTGTGCTGGAAGTATTGTGTAAAGCGAGGAATAATTTTTTGTGTTGACCAATTGCTGTCTAGTTTTTTTTGGTAGCTTGACAGGACTCATTTTATAGCGGGCGTAGGTATACATGCATATTTATTGAAGAAAGTAGTGCAATCTGTGACACTATTGAAAGACCGACACAAATCATATATTGTACAACATATAGAATTAACATGAGATGTGAACGAAATGTGTCAGTTTGATAAAACACTTGGTGTCTTAATCAGATGACTTACACTATTACAACTTTTACAGCCTCATATGTGAAATATTTGAAAGTAAAAAGCTGCATTCTTTTAACACTTAGTAAAAGATTATATAAAAGGTAATAGTATATGTATTTGAAGATTGTAATATTTATCCAAAGTAATAGATGAAGGTCTGTCATTTATGTTTCAAGAATTATACTAAATACGTCTGTCTCTTGTGTTTTTACACGTTACTACTTTTCTATCAACAATTTTTAAACGTGAGGCAAGTAGTCACGATTAAATAACAATTATTTACGTTAATATATATTTTTAACATTGCTTATACGTAACATGTAGTAAAATATTTTTCTTCAACCAAGTTTCTTTTCTTTTGGCATTCGTTTAAAATTCAGGAGGTGTAAATAAATTACAGTTCAAAAATTGATTCAGTAATTTTTCTATTTTCCTTCATTGATTTCATAGAATGACAAAATATATAGTAAAATTGTTTGACTCTTAATGGGTTAATGTAGAATGCATGATTTCTGACCTCCGACGGCATTCTTCCCGATGCTGTGCAAGAAACTTTCCTTATGATAACAAGTTTAAAACAGGTTTTTGAACATCATGTAACTGGTGAGGTCCAAGTCTTGTTTGCTTGTTATTCATTAAGTCTTCATAAGTAATAACTGTGAAGCTATAATTTAAAAATCAACTAATATTAGGCCCTAACATTGAGCTACGTTCGTTACACTTCTAATTATCCTTGCAGCAGAAAATGTTAAGAACCTTCCACTATACGATTAGAAACTGATTACAGTAATTTACATGTTTTTAAAATCGTTAGCAACTAAAAGGAACAAACTTTCAAACGTTTTAAACCGAAAAGTTATAGTTATAGCAATTTTGCGAGGATACGTGTTTTGCTATCATGGATATTTCGTGAAAACCGTATAATTTAATAAGGGATACTAATTAATGACCTCACGAATTTTAATAACTTTCATTCAACAAAAAATTTGAAGTCGTTAGATTGTATCGTACTTTATAGATACTACGTTTTACTGCTTTTGAGGGCATCGTTGAAATCCCCATAAAATCTCTAATAAGGCATAAAATCTGTAAACTACCCAGTCTATATAATCATTACAATATATTAGGTTGGCAACTAAAATCGCTATCTTAACATTTTTACTTGGGTAGAATTATTTATAAAAATTTAACTAACATTTTAGGTCGAAATATGTACTATTACTGTTTATAATTCTTCCCTATATTTATGGCAATTTTTTAATTCCTTTAAGTTAAAATTCAAGTACAATTTCTAGTTTTATTTAAAAAAAAATTCTCTTTAGTTCTTTTCTCTTTACTTCCCCTTAGTTCTTTAAATTTTTAAATTCTTTATTGGTAATATTCAAAAGAATATAATGAAATTAGGACGATACAAATGTAGTGAAAGAACACTTGTTCAAAAGTTATGTATGTAGATAATAGCGAGTACTAAAAAATTAAAGAGAAACATTAATTTCTTTCTAGCCTCAATATATTCCAATTATTTACGAATTTTATTAAAAAATAAAAAGAAACTAATCATTGGTTTGTAGAATCATACTCCAAATATTTAGGGATCGCAAATTTCTCGAATATAAAAAAAATGGCAACGTAATCGAGGTGAGAGCATCTTTTCGAGGATTGGACGACGCGAATTTAGACGTCAACGGGTCGTCAGGACCCGGTTCCTGACACATTATTCATAACCATACGTGCTGTCATACTGGACGTGTATCGCGCGGCTTGTCTCGTCTGAAGATTACAAGCTGGTCGCGTTTGAGCACGACCCGCCTCTAAAAAGAACCACGACAGCCACCGTGTCGACTGCCTGGTTCAGATTTGAAATTCGTTGCTCGAAAGCAATGACACTCACGAATTGTGTAACTTTCACAATATTTATTTTCATCGTCTTGCTCTTTCATTACGTTTCTTTTCAACACTTACATTTCTATAAATAATACACTTGTACAAAGAATCTCGTAAATATTCGCACACACTACCGACAAAATACAAATAACTTTTTCTGAATATTTGACACGCGATTTGCTAATTCGAATAGATTAATTTGAGCTATTTAAATTCCGTCGTCGACTTTGTAGATAATCTGTGTGCCGCCATATTGTTTAAAAGTAGCGCTCGGTGCGAACGGTTTTACGAAACACCCTGTGTTTCGCGGCGTATGTAATAAATGATATATTTAACTTAAAATATGGCTGTAGTAGAAATTTCTTTGGAACATTTGTAACATTGAGTCAAATATTAACTATGCGTTGACGGCGCACAAGTCTTTCAACGTGGACCGAACACGTCATGACGGTATTTCTATTAAAACAGAACATAGTGGCGAATGCGAGGTACGCAGAAAATAATTCAAGATCTACGGATATTTATAATCACGATTCTGAAATGTTTGCCAGCCAAATAAATCATAAAGAATTACTACTTATTTCGAATAAAATATTTTATCTCTCTGTTTACTCCAGATTTCATAAATTATTTTAGTGAACGTTACTTGCCCGGAAACAAGGAAAGAATAATAATAAATATGCAATTGCGTAAGTTAGGTACTTGAATTTTCTTTTCAGGTTCATTTTGACGGATTAAAGTCAGGATGTTAGCAAATGATTCACGAATCTTCGACTTCTCTAAACGCACTTCAGAGAAATCTTTTTCACGGAAAGTTTCGCATCACCTGACCACCCCATGGATTACCTGTCCGTTCGAGCGACTTGTGCGAACGGGACAAACTAGTTCCTCCAGTTTCGAAACAAACTCTGCTAATTCGAGTCCAGTACGACGTGTGTATAGCGTTTCAAATATCGGGACAAATGCTCGTTAGGTGTCATAATCTGAGCTGGGACTTGTTCAACGAGATTTCCCGATATTCGCCCCTCATTCCGACATGGAAACGATGTTAACGAAATTAATTCAATTCACTGCTAAATGGTCACTTACAGATTAATAAAATGATCATCAAGTTTAAAAATATATTTTGTTTTTAAGTAAGGAAAAGGAAGAAGTCTATGAGTTATTCTGATGTTACAACAAAGTAGCAATTGAAAGTTCAAATGAAAGATATGATACTTTTAGTAATTCCTGTTACATTTTCACCATCACTTCAATATGCTAGCTTCGTAATTTACTACCTTCATTTCATTATAGTTGCACCTGTCTATAATTTTCTCCTGTTTCTGTAACTTCAGTGTGAAAGTATTTGAGAAAATATATGTATCTGAATTTTGACGGAGTCTGAAGTGTTCATAACAGCAAACCTTCTGAAGAATGAGAACATGAATTTATTCCGAGGTTAAAGAGCACCGCCTCAGATTTCTTCTCTCTCGTCGGTCATCGTCCAGCAGAATTTCTCGTCCCATTACAATAACGTGTTTACAAACAATCCAAGGGAGGATCTGAGGTGTTTCACTTGACGCACGCTCCCTGAATTCCCGCTTTCAGCCGGCCGTCCTTAAATAGTTTTGGCAGACAAGGGACCGAACGTGAGTTTCTGCGAGTTTCATTCCTGGGATCCTCTCCCTGCATCATTTTAATATGTCTGCTGGGAGGTCAGCCGTGCTCCTTGCCCTCCCATGAACTTACCCGTACACCATGGGGTGTTGGATACCGTTTTTCTCGTTATTCGTGTCCATTTTTTTACGCTTTGCTTCTTCCTTGCCGTGTTTTTACTCTACGTGTTTAGTCTGAGACTGAAGGTTACTCGATTTACAAGCCATTCTCTTCGTTCAAAACAACTTTTACACAGAGAACTTTATTTGCTAAAAATAATTTTGATATTTCATGAAAACAATCTCTTAATATTTCATAAAAATTGTTTCATTTGTGTACTTGAAATCTTTGATCATTTCAAGTATTCGAAGATGTTGGTTCATTAGACTTGTAATTTATTCATAAATGTTACAATACTTAAATTTTATAAATGTAGTCTATTGCAACTATTTAAAAAGCTGGAATAATTAAATCATATTGCCACTGAACTGATAATAATGAAAAAACTCAAAAATTTAACGATTAATTTCTCCAGATTAATTATTCTCTCTGATTTGAGGTTCAATGTGTTTTAAGACGTATACACTTCCATTGTACCGATCACGTTCAATTACTTTATTTTACCGCATGTTCCCTTTCAATATCACAGTGAATGAAATACGGACTGAAACTCTGTGTATCCATTTCTATCACTCTATATATGTACCCAGTAAATCGCTGCGGCGATAAAAGGAAACATGACGAACGTTATCACTTGCGG